CCCACACTTCAATTAAGCAAAATCAAACAGATACAAACAAAGCATACAATTCTGAATTAACCTCTCCTACTGCTATGTCCTGATAAAAAAGGGTTTTCCTTCATATCATCCTTGATGATATGATATTTCCTCTATGGGGTTAGTGAAAGAGAACAGAAACACCCTGTTGGTGCATGCAAGGGAAGAATTTGACATGGTGCAGCTACAGGCATGCTGGAGGCCATCTGCATATTTAAGGTCTTCCTGGGGAGATATTTAGGTTAAGATGACTTACCTAGCCAAAAAACACTAGGAACAATCTCAGACTATCAGAGTGCGAATGAGTAGATATGAGACAGCAAATCTACTCAGAACTTCTTGTTTCCAAACATCTGTAATTTAGCACTTTCATAGTAAAGTTTCTGGAACAAAAAATGCCTTTGTCTGTGAGTTCCTGACTGCCTAAGTTATACGTCAAAAGGTCTAGTTTAGTCTAGGAACCTGATGCAAAACTGGAGAACATATATAAGAGCCTGACAGAGCCTCATATTCTCAGGCATCAACACTGGAATCTAGAGCCCTGGGCCGGTACCAGGGATAACTGCAGACACGAGATTTGAGGCCAGCACTGTAACCCACAGACTAATCAGTAGAAGAAGCAAGTATGCTCTATCACAGATTTTGCTCTGTTACAGATTCAGAGCTAGGAAGGACTATGTAAGAAATAACAACAGCTTGAACAGAAAGTCAGAGTTTTTAGGAGCAGAAGAGGTACTCCAAGATACTGTGTTTATCAGCACTACTAAAAGCCCAAGATACGGTTTGGACAAGAAAGCAGTCATATATTTCAACTTTACCAACAGTTCCATATTTCTCAAATCAGAGCTGTCTACCACTGTTAAAAGACACTAAGTCATTCTCTTTCAGAAATTCTTGAAAGAAAAAAAAAAAGCTTGCAAAATGTTAGAGAATGTTATTTACTTGAACATTTATTGTTCAAAGATGCTGAGTTCAACTTGCCAGAAAGCCCAGACCTCTGCTATGCTATCAAGAAACATTAAGGGGTTCAGAGTAGCAAAGCCTTTGCCACAGAATTACATTTCTACTTGAGAAGAAACGTTTCTAAGGATAAAAGGATAGTTCAGGGTCAATAACTAGTTCATGATCTTCACACAGGAAGGCTGAAAAAAAAAAATCTGACATGGAACTCATTTTATAGCTTACTACAGAGGAAGTCACCAGATAATAACACCTGCTTATGCTCGAATTGGATTATTGAATTATTATATTGAATTATGCTGAGTCACTGTTCAGACAATCACAGTCACATTGCAGAATACAATATCTTAAAAGCCTTTATGACAGAGAAAAAGCTTACAGAAGAACAAAAGAGCATTTCAGACATTGCTAACTATTGCATTGTTTATGACACTAATGTCAATCTTCCCTCTTCTTTTAAATTTGGTTAAACTAATATTTATTACTTTAGAAACAATGAAAATTCCACAAGGTATCCTTCTACTGATTTTCTTCTACCTCACATTACCTTTACTTTTTGTCACATAGTACGGGACAATCATAATTAAGGTGGTTTCTCTGATGAAACAAGCAGTAATTATTCATGTTTTGAATGTTATTAAAATTGCCCTATTTTTATGAACGAGTTCCGACTCCAACATGAAAACTGAATTGGTTTATATATTCTGACTTTGAAGCTCATTTAAGTGACAGGTAATCAAGAGTACCCTTGTTGCTCAGATTTTACTTTCTGCCTCAAATGACCCAATTCCAACCTTATTTCTCCCAAACATACTCCAAGGCTTCAGCAATCCTACCTACCATATATCTACACCCAAGTTTACACCAACTTCCATGGAATTGACAGTGATATATATTGGACTGAAAATAAAAACTAGGCATCTAGGTTACTTAAAACGACACTTTAAAGTCAATGAAAATTTGACATTGACTTCCCCAGATTTCATCTTAAATATTTTATCTTGAACAACTTCTTGAAATTTTTTCCCTTCTAATTTGTCTCTGAGGCAGTTTTAGGTACTATTTTTATTCTTTTAAAAAATCATAACAAATTGCATAACGAATACAAATAGACAAAATTGAAGGCTATGTCTCACCTACACAAAGAACAAGGGTAGCAGCAATACATATTTTAATATGCTTTTATTATGAAATGTTGCATTTTTACATCAATTAAAAGTTTTATAAACCAAAGATAATGATAATGTGGAGATTTTGTTCATCTCCAGGGATATTTTACTATTTTAGCAGGGTTTTTCCTACTACTTTTCAAATATGTCATACAACTTCAACATTTTCCATAGTAAACGCATTCATGTCCTAATTTTATCTCGTTGTCATATTTATTATTCCCTTCCTTTATCACTATATACAATTTTCCTATGTAGACGCATGTATGCACATATATATGTGTAAGTATATATGCAATTGTAACCTCTTCCACACATTCTGAATACTGTTTAGCTTAAAGTTCACTGGGTCCTTTAATAGGTCCTTGGATGCAATCCTGCAGCATAAAATAGAAGGTCCACTAATTCTAAAGTTTTCTCAAAAATGCTATTTTGAGCTAATGTTTTAAGTGACAAGATCACAATTAAAAGGTAGCTTTAAAAATTCAGCCCAATTCGTGTTTTTTGTTTCTTCGTTTGTTTGGGATTTTTTTTGGGAAAACACAGGAGGAAGGTTTTCAAGTAAAATGTTACAGCTCCCTAAGTGGGTGCTCAAGTATTCTAACTAGTCTTGCAAGCTTCTACATGAAAACAGAGGTAATACAAAAACAAAAGAAGCAAGGAAGTTTCTCCATCGATTAGCAAACCTGAACAAAAGCCAACTACAAGGAAGAGATACTCAACAATCATTTTTAATGGGGATTGAAGCAAGATGTATAATACCTAATTACTTAAACAGTACCAGTTACTCTGGAAGTAGTAGTAGTAGTAATAACAAAATGCCTATGTACTGATGTTTTTATAAAAAATATGGGTAATATAGTTATTGCAAAAACGGGTAAAACATGCGTGACCCTCCGACCTACTACATAACATCATAATACACTGCATTTCCAGTAAGTTAGACTCACTGAGAAGAGTACTCTTAAAAGTATAGCACCAGTCTGGGAGCTGCAAAGAACATATAAATTATCTTTTTTCCTGAAGTGCAACAAGTAATTCTGACATAATAGTATGCCACAATATTATCATGTGTATTAGGTTTGTGTGGTGAGGTTTTGGTATCAGGGGAGGGGCTACAGGGGTGGCCCCTCTCAGAAGGTGCTAGAAGCTTCCTCGGAGCCCCAAGGTGGCCCCCGCCTCTGGCCAAGGCTCAGCCAATTAGCAATGGCGGTAGCACCTCTGTGATAACGTATTTAAGAAGGAAAAAAAAAATTTGGGGGTTGGGGTAACCTGCAGCAGAGAGAAGGAGAAGCAGGGAGGTCTCGCCCCTGGACTCTGGCGCAGGTAGCTGTCTGTGCTTGGTCATCATCCCTTGCCTGGTGGCAGGGTGGCAGCTGCAACAGCACAGCTGGGGTGCCTAGCCAGCTCACACACAGGCACAAGCCAGTTCCCTGCAGCCCAGCGGTGTTGGCCAAGTGCCTTCATCCCCTTAAATCAAGACTCACGGAGCTGTCTCCTGCAGCCCATAAGTGAAGTGGTGGAGCAGAGATCCACTAACAGCCTGTGGATGACCGCACGCCGGAGCAGGTGGCCACACACAAAGGAGCAGCAGTCTGTTGGTGAAGGACTGTATCCTGCTGGAGGGACCCATGCTGGAGCAGTTCATGAAGAACTGCAGCCCGTGGGAAGGACTCATGTTGGAGAAGTTCATGGAGGACTGCTTCTCAAGGGAGGGACCCCACGCTGAAGCAGAGGAACAGTGTGAGGTGTCCTTCCCCCAAGGAGGAAGGAGCAGCAAAAACATGTGACAAACTGACTGCAATCCCCGTTCCCTGTTCCCCTGAGCCACTACTGGAGATGAAATAGAGAAATGGAGAGCAAAGTTGAGCCTGGGAAGAAGGGTGGGTGGAGGCAACGTGTTTTAAGATTTTGTTTTATTTCTCATTATCATACTCTGATTTGATTGGCAACAAATTAAACTGATATTTTCCCAAGTCAAAGCTGTTTCGCCCGTGACCATAACTGGTGAGTGATCTTTCCCTGCCCTTGTCTGGACCCACGAACCCTTTGTCGTATTTTCTCCTCTCCATCTCACCAGGGGGTAGGAGTGAGTAAGCAGTCGTGTGGCGCTTAGCTGCTGGCTGGGCCTAAACCTTGACATGTGCCTGCTGATCAATCAGAATAGTGTTTTCATAACACTACTTTAATGCAATTTTTGTCTATGGAGATGGAAATGCATGATGCTTCACAAAAAAATCTTACTTAAGCTGTAAAAATAACAGAATAGTGTACAACACCACATTGTTGATACTACTTACCGACGATGAGCCCAGCATGGATTTTGGAGACCTTATAATTCCAGCTATGGAATGACGTATAGTGTCAAATCTTGAGACTTTGTCCTTCTTGTCCTAGGAGAAAAAGCAGTATCTCCAGTAAAAACAAGCAAATTGGTATGACAATTGAATTATGGAAGAATGTGGAATCTCTCCTGGATCTTACTTAAACAAAAGATAGCACCTTAGCCTCTACTGATACAAAACAGTAAGTGTCAACATCAGTGGGACTAAGCTAACTCATATCAATTTAACTCCTAATAAATTATATAATTCCTTAAATATTTTGTGCAATGATTTTAAATTAAAATAACTATGAAGAGAACTGAAATTCTTTTGCACCCTAAAAACAAAGGACATAATTTTCAGTTCACCTGAAATACCTATTTTTTAAAAAAGACATTGATTTCAGACCATGTAATAAAAAAAGTCCATATAATAAAACTCAAAAAGTCATACATACATTATCGTTACTTTATACATGTTTTTTTTCCCCATTTCTTAACATGTTTTTCTCTAACAATACACTACTTATAAATCTTAGCATCAATCAGTGCAAGTTAAAGGATCCATTTGTTTTCTGGCACTACTGTAAACCATAGGAGCAGTCACCACTTGGATTTTTAAACTCTGTAAGAAGAGGGCTCTGACTGGAACACCAAAACAGTCTTAAAGCATCTCTAGTTCAGCATAAGTCAACATAAATTCCAAGGTGCTCATAACATGACTTAGTCCAAAGACTCTGTATTTCTTAATCTCGGATTTTCCATCAGCTCTCAAAATTAATATCAAACAATCTCTCTCTCTCAAAAAAAATATTTTAAACACTGACAAACTAAGCTTATTTCTTGTAAAACACTCTCAGAAACAGCCAACATATTTTAATGAGTATTTGCAAAGTAATTAAACCTTAAGCAGAGAAATCGCACATTAACAACCTCATTCTAATTAGCTACAGGTTACCACAACTGTAAGAATCTGATAATGGAGACAGACTACACCTGTTTGGTAGTGTTACAAGGAAAAAATGCTTCCAAGTTTTGGAGGTACATCTTTGACTGAAGAAAGTGAAAAATCTGATAATGTAATAAATGCAGCTTCAATTTATCCAGGACTTCTGAATAAGGAACAAAATGTATTCCTTCTATACACACAATATACCAGTGTTTGCAAATCACTCCCGAATAAAATAAAATTTAGTTTACAGGATATAGGTTGTGCATTGTCTTAGCAAAATAAATTCATTAATTTGGTAGCAAAATTCTGCAAAGTGCCTCAATTTGTACACTGTGAAAAAAGAGTGTAAAAACCAATCAAATAGTCTAACAAGGAGTTTATTAGTCACTGAAATAATCATCAACTCTGTGCCCACTTACCTATCAATAACATTGTTATTCCTTTTATCAGACTCAAGTAATATCGTATGCCAACTAATTTTCTTATAATAAAACACTCTATGTTGAATCTTGATTTTTAGTTTTATAATATTGATGAATTCAACTGGCTTCACTAGAAAAAAAAGTGTCATTAACAATAGGTGAGACAGAGTCTAATTTCACTTGCATGCTTTGCTGGATGTGGAATTATCCACTCATTTCACACATCTCTTCAGAAGTGAGCCATGAGATTTAACTGCCATTAAATGTTTACATCTTATATGACAGGAAAAAAGTTACCAAAAGATGCATGAATTCGACTACACTTCCCCTACCCAAACTCAGGAATTTTCTATTTTACACTAATAGTGTGCTTATCTAATGACAACATCAAACTACAAGTAAGGTTCTATATTCACCAGTTTCTCATTATCGAAAAATGTTTTTAACAAGAGGTACCAGAAAGATTCATGGACTGGGCCCCACCAGCGGACTTTTGATAAGCTTCACTGAAAGATATATAGAGGCTAATAGTAGTAGTAAATATAATGAGCATTAAAATGCAGATTTAAGGGATAAACTTTGGCTCTGCTCAAAATGTTACCCATGCTCTGTTCAAAGGGTAATACGTTTATAAACAGTTTAGTATTTTCATAGCACTTTCTCTCTGACATACTGAAACTACTCTGTATCTTACAGCAATGAAAACTCACAATTTGTCTGCACAGCAGGCATTATTAGACACATGACAAACAAACCGCAGCCTGTACCGAGTTTATTTATGCCATGTAAGGATTTTTAGAGTAACCTGAATAAAACTGAAGATCAGCAACAGTAGTCTGTTACAAATTTTTTTTTGCCATTGCCTAGCTGCACACCACCTTAGAAGGACCCATTAGATCTTGTAGGAGACCAGTTTTCACTAAGAATAGTATATTCATCAGTGTGAAGAGATTTTTTTAATGCCTATTAGGTGTATTTTTTTTGTAAACCGGTATAAATACAACCCAGAACAGTTCATCAACTTTTTTATACATATCTATCTATCTATCTGTACAGTCTTATTAGTTAAACTAGGGTGTTATTTTGAGCCTGCTTTCCAAAATAAAAGGAAACACACATCAGAGCTGTCTTTCAGTGATGTCTACCCTAGTCACACTAAATTTTGAATGTCTCAGCCGAGGCCCTCACAATTTAGCAAAGGATTTAGTAGATGAAAGGATTATCTCAAAATATTAGGTTATTTAAAATTTGTGAAGGAAAACAATACAGAGAAGAGATTCTGGGTCCTCAGGAAGAAAAGTCCAATATAATTCCACACAATACTCATTCCAATAAACATCAGACATCTGACCAACCAGCAAAACCGTGCTGGCTATGTAGACACCACCTATGCCTCAGATAAACTCCTAAGACATGTTACTATTTGACTAACAAACTTGAGAACAATACTGGAAAGGAATTAGGAGTTCTGCATCAGGAATGCTGTAAAGAGCATTATGGAGCAGTATGCTTGCTACCATATGGGATGCAGCTACCAAAACATATTAGCTGATTCAGTTTCACTTTAGTTTAAATGAATTACTTTCAGAGATATTAGCAAATTGTAGCATGGTTTGTCACTTCCTTTATTTTACACTACACTAATCTCATTAAAAAGAAGACTTTTCTGTGGGCCATAATATTTTATGCAATGACTGAATGACTACAGAATAAATTGTAGTTTACCATTAAGAAGCTAGATAGGTATGAAAACACATATTGTCATTAAGGGATATTTGTAATCTATTCCTTTGACTGTGTCTAAATGCACCTGTGGCACAAGAGCACATCATATAGGAATTATGAAAAACGTATTGACAGATATTTCCCTTTTAGGACAAGCCAAATTTCTAATCACTCTCCAGAAAGAATTAAAATTAATCTCCACCAGACTTCGAACTGGTACTTAGAATAGGTCATGAATTTTCTATCCATTGGACAGGTACACCTAGCAAAACTGCTGAAAATCCAACTGCTTACCCTGGAAGGATGCAAGACTGATGAACTGTTACTGGGAATACAAACCGCTGTTTTATGGATTGGACTTCTTGCCATCATCCCCTTTGGTAAAAAATGCAAAGCACTACTGATTTTATTTCTAAATAATGTAGAAAGGATTTACTAAGACAAATAAGTCTTTTATTGAGAAATTGACTGACAGCAACTACTTGTAATCATGAGATTAGAGTTCTCTGTCATATTTTACAAGCAATCTGTTTTGGTTGAAGCAGTGTTATTATTTTTCTGCTACAAAACGAGGAATGCTGAAACCCTGTTCCCAGTTGTATACACCCCAGCCAGCCTTTTCATTCTAGTTCTCTTTTTTCTTTCTTAACAGTCAAAACAATTGCCTTGCCTCTTTCAAAGAGATGTCACAGCAGAAGACAACCACTCTGCCTCTCTTAATTTTATGTTCCATTCTTCCTTTCTGACAAGACACATAGAGGAAAAATGAAGCATAAGAACCTCAAAAGAAGGGCAAGATTCAGACCAGTTGAAAAATGCAAGTGAAGCACTCCCTATTTTGCCTGAGGTTTTCCTCAGGTGCATCTTTATATGTGATACACAGAAAGTCGAGCTTCTGAGTTTTGTATGTTCACTTTGGGGGATTTTGTGCAACATGAGGTCCTGTCCATTTTGATGGATCTTCCACTAGAATTCAGCTTCTGTGGACACGCACTATAACTGTTAGGTTCCTGTGGACAAAAATCTCCCTTTTGCCAGACAAACAGTTCTGTCACTGGGCAAAATCACTGCAGATTACTTAGAGTGCATGAAAAATAATACAATGCAGCCACAAACATAACACAATCAAAATGACCAGCCCTAAGAATCATATTCGCAATGGTATTTTAAATAAACACGAGCAAGACAAAGCAACAAGGCAAAAGATTTTGTTTAAATTGAACTGCATAAAGTAAAAGCCCAAAAGAGCTCTTCAGCTGTATAAATTCAGAAAAATGGCTGCATCTTAGATGTTACTATAAAAGAAAAATAATCTGTACTCTTTTTAGAAAAGCATGGAAGTAAGAACTTAGAGAGAGATCTAAGATAAAGATAAACAGAATTAATGCTTCTGAGGGACAGGTAAATAGTAATACTATCTCTACCAATCAAAAGGTGGAAGATTAGCAATAAGAGGCACAACGAACAAAGCAGCATGTATTGAATATTGCTAAAAAAACCCTAGTCAGACATGGTACATATAGGTAACATAAATAGGCCAATACTTTAATATTATTCCATTCAAAGAAAGACCACCTAATGAGACAGATATCAGCAAGCTCACTACCCTGGATTTCAGGAGAGCAAACTTTGGCCTCTTCAGGGATTTCCTTGGTAGAGTACAATGGGATGAAGCCCTGGAGGGAAGAGGGGTCCAAGAAAGCTGGCTAATATTCACGCTTAGGAGCGGTGCATCCCAACAAAGAGGAAATCATTAAAAACCACCAGGAGGCCTGCATGGATGAACAAGGAGCTCCTGGATCAATACAAAAAGGAAGCCTACAGAGGGTGGAAGAAAGGACAGGTAGCCTGGGAAGAATAAAAACAAATTGTCTGAGCAGCTAGGGATCAGGTTAGGAAAGCTAAAGACCTGATAGAGTTAAATCTGGCCAGGGACATCAACAAGAAAAGCTTCTATAGATATGTCAGTGATTAAAAGATATCTAGGGAAAACGTGGGCCCTCTCCAAAATGAAATGGGAGACCTGGCTATGGATATGGAGAAGGCTGAGGTACTCAATGACTTCTTCGCCTCAGTCTTCACTGGCAAGAGCTCCAGCTGCACAGCCCAAGTCGCAGAAGGCAAAGGCAGGGACTGGGAGAATGAAGAACCGCCCACTGTAGGAGAAGATCAGGTTTGAGACCATCTAAAGAACCTGAAGGTGCACAAGTCCATGGGACCTGATGAGGTGCATCTGCAGGTCCTGAGGGAACTGGCAGATGAAGTTGCTAAGCCACTATCCATCATATTTCAGAAGTCGTGGCAATCTGGTGAAGTTCCCACTGACTGGAAAAGGGGAAACATAGCCCCCTACCTTTAAAAAGGGAAAAAGGAAGACCCGGGGAACTACAGGCCAGTCAGTCTCACCTCTGTGCCCAGCAAAATCATGGAGCAGATCCTCCTGGAAACTATGCTAAGGCAAAAAGAAAACAAGGGGGTGATTGGTGACAGCCAACATGGCTTCACTAAGGGCAAGTCCTGCCCGACTAATTCGGTGGCAATTTATGATGTGGTTAGAGTGTTGATGGATAAGGGAAGAGCATCTGACATCATCTACATGGACTTGTCCAAAGCATTTGATACTGTCCCACACAACATCCTTATCTCTAAACTGGAGAGACACAGATCTGATGGATGAACCACTTGGTGGATATGGTATTGGCTGGATGGTCGCACTCAAAGAGCTGCAGTCAACAGCTCGATGTCCAAGTGGAGGCCAGTGATAAGTGGTGTTCCTCAGGGGTCAGTACTGGGGCTGGTGCTCTTTAACATGTTTGTCAATGACATGGACAGCGGGATCAAGCGCACCCTCAGAAAGTTTGCTGTCGACACCAAGCTGTGTGGTGTGGCTGACATGCTGGAGGGATGGGATACCACATCCAGAGGGACCTTGACAGGCTGGAGAGGTGGGCCTGTACGAACCTAATGAAGTTCAACAAGGCCAAGTGCAAGGTCTTGCACACGGGTCAGGGCAATCCCAAGCACAAGCATAGGTTGGGTGGAGAATGGATTGAGAGCAGCATGGAGGAAAAGGACTTGGGAGTGCTGGTGGATGAGAAGCTCAATATGAGACATGAATATGCACCTGCAGCCAAGAAAGCCAACCGTATCCTGCGCTGCATCCAAAGAAGTGTGGCCAGCAGGTCGAGGGAGATGATTTTGCCCCTCTACTCTGCTCTCATGAGACCCTATCTGGAATACGGTGTTCAGCAATAGAGGCCCAAACACAAGGAGGACACAGAGCTGTTGGAGTGAGTCCAGAGGAGGGCCACGAAGATGATCCAAGGGCTGGAGCACCTCTCCTATGAAGACAGGCTGAAAGAGTTGGAGCTGTTCAGCCTGGAGAAGAGAGGGCTCCAGGATGATCTTATAGCACTCTTCCAGTACGTGAAGGAGGCCTAAAGGAAAGCTGGAGAGGGACT